CTGAAGATATTAGCAAGTATTGGCGTGATAAACTTGCTGAAAATACAGTGAATTATACCCGAAAGATGCATTCTTCACAGGATCAAACTCAAGCTCCAAAGCCTCGATATAAACAAACCAAAATTTTAAACCATTTTAGTTCAGATGAACCACTTCCTCCTGAAATAAGTAGCCGTATTGATTGCTCTTTATTAAAAGCATGGGTGATAGCAGGGATTCCTTTTGAGGTCATTGAAAATCCATTTATTTTGGATTTATTTAAAAATTTAAATCCAGCATATGTCCCACCATCTCGAACCACCTTATCTGGTAGACTTTTAAATGAAGAAATTTCGCGCGTTAATAATAAGATTATTTCTGAGTTGGAGATGGCGGAGAATTTAACTTTAAGTAAGAAGTTTTAATTTAATTTTTAAATTATGTTGATTATTTATTAATTTCTATCATTTATTTTATAATTAGCATTAGACGGTTGGACATCTAAACGAAATGAATCACTTTACAATTATGTTGTAACAACTTCCAATAGAAAAGAATATTTAGTTGCTTTACGCAACTATTCTATTGAATCACATACAGGAGAATTTCTTGCCTCAGAAATATCAGATATTGTAGAGACAATCGGTTTAGACAAATTTACAGCTGTTGTTACTGACAATGCTTCTAATTGTCGAGTTGCTAGAAGAATAATAGAAGAAAAATATGGTCATATTTGGGATATACGATGTGCAGCTCATGCTATTAACTTGATAGCAGTTGATTTAGTAAAACTTAATGATATAAAGGAATTTATTTCAAATTGTGGAATAATTACAGGATTTTTCAATAATTCACATCAAGGTTCTGCAATTTTAGCTCAAGGTTTAAAAGACATGAAGATTAATATTGAGAGATTACAAACATGGTGTAAGACTAGATGGGGTTCATTATATATGACAGCAGATTCAATCTTACGTGCGCGTCCTGTTTTTGACTGGGTAAGATATTTTTTTAATTATTTATTAATATTCTTTATTTTACAACAACAATTCTAATAATTAAATACTATAGATTTTATTAGAACATAATGGTATTGTCACAAACTCAAATGTTTATCTCTTAATTCAAGATGATGAATTTTTTATGAAGTGTCGTCATATCCGTTCAATTTGGGCCCCCATCAAGGAATGCATTAATATTGTTGAAGCAAAATCAGCTTCTTTAGCTGATTGTTTTGTGCAAATGATTAAACTAGCAATTGCTATATTTCGCCTTCCTTCATCAAATCCCTTTAAAGCTTCAGCAATTCAAATTTTTAATACTCGTTATCTTGAATTTCAACATCCCGCCTATCTTTTATGTTATTTTCTTCATCCTTATTATCGAGGTAAATATATTATTTTTCAGTTAATTTTTAAAATTATTATTACTAAAAAAATTATTTTGATTGTTTAGGTTTAGGACTTAATGATGAAGGATTTAGAAATACCGCAATTACTGCTACAACACTTTGGCAAAATTTAGGATATTCTGAACAAGAATGTAGAGAACTTCTTACTCAGTTTCGAAAATATGATCAAAAACTTAAGCCTTATGATTTACCTTATGAAAAAAATATGGATACACCTGAATTATGGTAGGGTTCTATAAGAAGTAAACCATATCATTTACGAGATCTTGCACTTCGTCTATTTGGTATTGCTGTTTCACAAGCAGGATGTGAACAAAATTTTTCTATACTTAAATGGATTATTGGAGATAGACGTACAAGAATTGATGTTCAAAAGCTTGAAAGTATTTCTAAAATTCGTTCTTATTATTTAGCAAGCATTAAAAATGAATTATCATATTATGGAAAGCATTTGAATGAAACAGAATTAAGAGAAGTTGCCAATATTTCGGCAGTTGGTGAAATTATTGCTTTAGATGATAATAATGATATTATTAATCATCTGTCATTAGAGGAAAATCAGGTAGCTCAGGAGAGAAAAGGTATACAAGAACGTACTACTTTAATATTGGAGGATATTGTTGATCTTACACAACCGATCTTTGAAAATGTGGAAAATGTGAATACTAATACTAATGAAGAAATTAATATAGATAGAAATATGAATTTTAATCCTATTGATTTAGTTAATCAAATTTTAGAAAACTAATTAAACTAATTTGTTAATTGTTAATTTGTTGTATTAAATTCAAATTTATC